CATTTCAGCAGACCAGAACAGAAGAGGGTGGATATGATGGCTGGAGTTTTCAGAGGACTGCTTTGGATTAAATGGTTTTCAGAAATATACATGCATGATTTTCTCTATAGAAATCACCACATGAGGTATCTGACTACATATGGGAGTTAAGAGAAAGCTAGAAAGTATTATGGCCAAGAGAACAGAAAAATAATACTTCAATGAGAGAAATACAAATATATGGAGAATAAGGAATGAAGAAATGTATTCGTTTTCTGTCTTCTGGGTTTCGGGTGATAAGAAATCCAAGTGGATTGTCTACTAAGAAAACTAAAGATGCAGGGCTGGATATTAGTTGACAGACTAGACCTTTGTCACTGCTATCACACTGGTGAAGCCTCTATCAACTTGCCCACGTAAGGGCTTCCTGCTTGCAATTTAGCCCTCTTGAGTGCTCCCCATCCCTCTTCAAGTTTACAAGAGTGACCCTTCAAAATACAAACTAGATCATATCACCATTCTGCTCAAAACTGGCCCACAGGTCTCCATTTCACTGAGTAAAACCCCAAATCCTTACAATGGTTTACAAGTGCCTTCATGATCTGCCACCTCTACTCCCCTTCTCTCCTGCCTCAGAGCCTACTCTCCTCACCTCTGTGCTACTCTTAACATGCTAGGCTTAGTCCCACTCCAGGGCACTTGTCATTACTATTCCCTATCTGCCCTGAAAACTGTTGACTGGCTATCTAACCTCACATAGCTAACTCTTTTGCCTCGAAATTTCAAGACTGTTCAAATCCTACCCTGTTCAAACTCTTGAGGCTCCACCCTAACTACACTATGAAAAAAGTGGGATGGTGGGAGCCCCACCTTTATCCTAAGTACCCCTGATTCTAGTTGCCAATTTTTCCCAATTTTTCACCATTTAGCCTTCAAAGTAATTCATTTATGCTTACTGTTTATTGCTGTCTCATCTACCAGTAAAATACAAGCCACCAATGAAGACTGAGATTTTGTTCACTTAAGGATCCCAAAAGGCCTGCAAAAGGTTGGCAGAAATATCAATTTGCTGAATTAATAAACTGCTACAAAGAAAAAATGCTACAATGAAAACTGAGAACAAAAAGTCACTGTGTTTTTGCACCAGCTCACCCTGCCCATTTCTCCCATTATTTCCTAATTCAGTAATGGTCTCACCATCCATTCAAATGCTCATGCCAAAAAAACCTGGAAACCATTCTAAACCTCTAACTCTTCCAATTTTCCCTGCCTACAGCCAATTCATCACCAAAAACCGTGTTATTTCTAGAACATGATCCTCTTTTCTATTCCCACTATACCATCTTTATCTTTTTTCATCTTTCTTCATCTCTAGACTAGACCACAAAGACCACAACTAAGCTTTTTTGCTTTCACCTAACAAGGAGTATCTGTTTTAGATAGATATGGCAGAATATGGCAGGCAGATAAAAGTAAAATGAAGACTAGGGTACTCGAAGACTAGAAAAAATGAATTTCATATTTATCTTCTTCCTACTAACAAGCAATTATTCATGTATTTCAAGGTCCAGCCCAAATATCTCCAGTTTTAAAGACTTTCCTAGTTCCTTCAGGCAAAGTGCACATAGACGGGACAGGGCCTGGCACCAAAAACTGTGTTGAACAGATCAATGAACACTTTTGTCTAGTACTGGCAGTTATAAAGAAGAAAACTTAGGTTTAGACAAAAACAGAGCTGCCAAAGACAGAAAGAATAGAAATTATCTATACAGCAGCCAATACAGAAGGTAAAGATACTAAACTAAATACCCAAGATGAGGAGGGGAAATAACGGAGAAACAAACACAATATTTCAACAGAGATAGAACTAACAGGTGAAACAGCCCTACAACACATTTAATAGAGCAATATATGTTTTAGTATTTCAGAGAAATGCAGAGCTAGACGAAGAGCTTAAGTTAAGACAATCTGAAAAGATGGAACATATTCTCTCTGATAGGAATACTCAACTAGAAACAAATCAATTTGGCTCATAAAATGTTAATGATATATATTTAATAAAACCATATCACCAGTCTCCCTCATTCCATTCCCCTAAAAGACATTTGGATATACAGAACTCAATCATTAGAAAAATAAGCTCAAAGGAGGTCTCTTAAACATCAGAAAAATTACATTAACAGAAGGAAAAGTTATTATTAAAACTAAAACTCTAAACAAATTGAACAATTATAGTTTTAATTTTTCTTATAAAATTCTACATTTTATAGGCCCGTGCACTATTAAAGAGAAATAAAGAACCTAGAAAAGCAATTTTTAAAATAAGCAGGTACAGTTCTATGCCGAAGGGAAAACATAAAAATACTCAAAATATTACCCCCCTTCACTTATATTCCATGTAAGATAAACAGCCTACGCCCTATAGAATAGCTTAGTCACTTATACTGTGGCAAGTTTATGACCAACCAAGGCAATGCTAAAATCATAGCTCTGTAGCTTTTCAGGCCACTGTTCCTCTGAGATGCCACTAAAAGCTGGGAAGTTTTGCCCTGCAGAAAAGCAGGAAGACACACAATATATAGCTAGCACTCTAAATATGTCAAGGCAGTCAGAGCCCCTTGCTGTCTCTTTAAGACTTCCTAGAGATCCAAGTAAACCACTTGTGGAATTGCTGCTCTAACAACTAAAAACAGAAAGTAAGGAAGAGTCCAGAGTAGGAGATAAGCTGTTAACAACTCTAGAGCTTTTTCCTCATCATCCAGGAAATTGAGAAGCATTCAATATAATTCATCATCAAATGCTACACACCCAGATTAAACCAAAATGCACTCATGTGCCTTACAAAAAAAACTTTAAAGTGCTTGAAGATGTAATAGTACTATTAATAATAACAGCCAATATTTACTGTGCATTCACTATGTACTAAACATTGTTCTAAGTATTTTAAATATATTTATATTTAACATATGTGTAAATAATTACTATTCTCATTTCACAAATGAAGAAATTAAGGCACAAAAAAAGTACAAAAAAAGATTCAAAAATCAATGGCATGAAGCAGAAAAGGTTAATGAGGGTAAGAAGCAAAAAAATCTGATCTACAAAGTCTTTGCTCTGCAAAAAATTACTCAGTTCTACAAAGCAAGAACATACTGTCCAAACTCCAGAATAAGAAGACAATCTTGATCCTTTTCCATACCCTGCCAAGATAATCTTTACAAAATCACATTCACTAAGGAGTACACTGTTACTAGAAGTAGGAACACAAAATGTTCAAAAAAAGTACTAAGTAAAGGATTTAAAAGATGAAAATTGAAGATTAATTTTTAAGATAACACATGCTAGCCTTAGAAATCATAACCAGTGGTAAATCATACTTTGGAAAAATTAGTCAATAAATTATAAAAAATTAAAACAGGATACTCTTTTCTATACCAGAAGTTCAAGTTTCCCTACCTCAAACTTTTATCAAAACTCAGCCTCCTTTTTACCATCTTGGTGCCATGCCTCTTCTACTCCATGAATGATCACAAAAATAGACAAAACCTCACAGGTTCAACAAGCCTTATTAAATCCCATCAATCACTAGGTGGGATAGTGCACACCAGTAATCCCAGCAAACCAGGGGTTTCAGGCCAGCCCACGCAAAATTAGGGAGACCCTATCTCAAAAACAAAGTACCAAAAAAAGAGCTGGAGGCATGGCTCAAACGACTCAAGTGGTAGTCAAGCATGCTTGCTTACTAGGCACAAAGAAAAAAACAAGTTCCATTATTCAAAATACAGATTCTAGACTCCTTGTTTGTATCCACACTATGCCTTGAACAATGTAGCACATGATAGTTACTGAGTGGTTGAATCTTCTCCAGCATAAGACTGCATTTGTTGAATATACTGTTACTTTAACATTTTCTACCTCCCATAACATCAGACTACAAATTATTATAGCATCAAAATAATGCAGTAAAACCAATCTTTTACCTTTGACTTAATAACCAAGTTTAATTTATCGTTTTGTTAAGACTGTACATGGCGGGGGGGAAACACTATTTTTAGATCAGTTTATGCAGTTATTGGTAATCCAAGCTATCACAAAAATTTTTCTGAAGATACTCCTTTTTAAAACAAATATATTTTTAACACCCCATAATTTCTCACAGTTTGCTTTGAAATAAATACTTGAGATACCATAAAAATCAGAGAGGTTTTTTCTTTTACAAAGTAACAACTTTTTGAGTTAGATAGGAGAAAAGTAACCCCACTAAAATGAGGTGGGCTATTTTATATAGCAATGTTCTAAATACAGTGAAGGACATAAACCAAAAAACAATGAAAATAACATGTGTGGCAAAATTTCCCCTTTATATTTAATTCACAAACTGTACCAACTGCTGCTGATTTAATGAATTGCTAAAATACTTCATTGTTATCATACACAATTTTAAAACTATATATTACACGGAACTTCTTGGAAGCCAATACCAATTAAAAGTTAATCTTTATGCAAAACAAATGCTTCTTAGTACACAAAGCACACAAGCATAAAAATTGAGACTAAAACATTCCCTAATATTAAGGAGTACTTTTAAGTACAACTTACACTTGCTGAATATCAATTTAGCAAAACATGCAAAGATGACCTTATTTTGGCAAAACTCAGAATATTGTTTCTTCAACATCTTACAAGGCAGTCTGACGCACCACATTCTCCCATCTGTTTTGCTCTATACGTTCATATTCCAAATGGGAACTAAACCCTTTTCAAGTAATGGCTAAATTTTCATTAAATCACAAGGAAATAAAGAGCAGAGAAATAGCATATGAGAAACAGAGGAAGACAGAACAATAGGCAGAACGGCCTTGGTAATGACCTTAAAAAAGCAATCAGGATAGAGCAACTGCCTCACAAGCATGAAGCCTTGAATTCAAACCCTAGTACCACAAAAGAAAAGAAGTGTATGTTGACAGAAAACCTATACACTATGTACAAGAATCGTATTAAATAATTCCATTCTTACTTACCTGATGAGCTCTCAGTAAATACTGTTAGTGTCTGTCCTCCAACACTTTGTAAGACAAATGGATGTTCCCTAGGAGCACTGACTGAAGCTGGTTTTCCACCAATGTCATGGATATTTGCAAGATCCTCATTCAAAGTAAATGACACCTAGTAGACACATTAACCAAAGCTTACTACAATAGACATTTATATTCAAAGTACCGGTACAGAAATTTTTATTATAAACCACATACATTTTTTAAAAATGCAAGCCTTTTTTCTAGTCTATTAAGGAGCTTTTAAACTTCATCAATACAATGCCTAATACTTAGTCATAAAAAGAAAATCTACTCCCATGTGTCAGAATGATAGGGTTCATCTACCACTGTAAGGAAAGACAGCTGTCAAATGTTTTTTCTGATCTGTGGCTTAAGAACTCTTCCCAAAATAGAATGAAATTACTTTTTCCTAAAGTTTCAGAGGCCAACAAGTTGTGCCTTATTACCTTTACATCTTTCAGACCTAACAATATGCCCAGTACACAGAAGGAAAAGCATATTTGCTGAATGAGAATATTTTAAGGATATTAGAAATCAATTGTACCTCAAGTACAAAGTAAAAAGTAAGTGGTCAAAGTGAAATATTTACTCTAAAAATCTTAAATACTCTTATAAATAGTCTTAATGACTACTTCATGAGTACATGGAATTGTTTTATTTTTAATATTTTAATAAATACAATTGTTTTATTTGATATATTTGATACATTGCAAGAAACTTTGTAAATGCCACAATGTATCCTCACCCAGCACAACAATAAAAGAAAAAATATTTTAACAAATACAACTATTTAAAGAGTAACTCAACAATAAGGTTTAGAATAAAAGGACAGCAGCTATTCTTTCTAAATGATTTTTACTATATACTAGATCTCTCCCAAAAGAACAAATTTTCAATTAGAGATTTATAAATGTAAAACTACTGACCTCCCAACCATGTAGGAAGATCAAGAAGTATTAGGTATCTCTCTACTATGTGATAGGTACTGTATATTATGAACCAGACTCAATGGTCAAAATCTAAAGCCCTCAAGTCAGGTATGGTGGCTCACGCCTATAATCCTAGCTACTTGGGAGGCAGAGATCAGGAGGATCACAGTTTAGAGCCAGCCCAGGTAAATAGTTTGTGAGACCCTATCTCAAAAATATACAACACAAAAAGGGATGGCAGAATAGCTCAAGTGGTAGAGCACCTAGGTAGCAAGTGTGAGGGCCTGAGTTCAAACCCCAGTACTGTCAAAGAAAACCAACCAACAAACAAAAAAAACTAAAGCCTTCAAAACTCAAATGACTTTTGCCACACTGAAGTAATGCTGAAATAGTACTGCAGTCATACTCAGTTTCACAGTGCTAAGAGGACAGTTTATGTCAAAGAACAAAATGTGAGCATGAACAACCAGAAAATAGCCCATTCATTTACACAAGTAGCATTTCTTCTTATTGCTTACCTTCAGCCATTCATTTAACGCGAATAGTACAAAATGCAAACACCCTCTCTTTATTATTACTAAAGAAGAGTAAAGCAATCTCATGTCTTGAATAAAATTTTCATATAAATAATCTTACCTCAGTCCTTCCTTGAGTCCTAAAAGAGAAGGAAATGTTTAAAATTACTCAGATTTCATATTGCTTTCAAATGTGAATTAAAAGCCAAAAGAAATAATGCTACTTCATATTTGCATAAAATATCACATTTACAGAGACTAATGTTTATTCATGGTTCTCCCCAACTATCTGTAATCCTATAAGATAAAACAAAATTATATTAATTGCACATGATTATTTTATGAACTCGTGTCACAACACTATTATAACCTGTCCTAATTATAACTTGACCAAAAAATGACCTTATTACAATTTTTACCTGTACTTCTGAGCATTTTTAGCCTTCAGCAGCATGTGAATACATATTTAATACCAGATCTAAATAGCACCTCAGCAAATTTTACCTATCAGAAGAAATTTCATTTACCCAACAAAATCTTAAATAATAAGATCACAAACAAGTAATCATATTTGGGTGGAAGAGAGAGAGACAGAATAGGTACAGTGGTGGTGGGGCTGTAGCTCAGTGGTAGAACACATGCTTATTATGTGCACCAAAGAAGAAGAAGAAGAAGAAAAGAAAAAAGAATCAAAAAACAAAACAAAATATGAACAGTGAAAGATGAAGCAAAACCATTAAAGATCTTAAATATCACAGTCCAAAGCATGGACTTTATCCTTTAGGCACCAGAAATCTTACAGGCATTAATGAACAAAAGAGTAACAAATACAAAGATGCCCCAAAAAACTGGAAAGTATTTCTATATTTTCTTTCTAGAGAGATGAGGACCAGTCAGAAACTGCTGGTTCTCTATTATACCCAGCTTAGTTCCAACCTGCTTCATTCAGTCAACCACTCACTCTGTCATTTTGAAACTTCTAAACATCTATTAGGCATTGTGATGGAAGGATAGTATAGTGGTCCAAGGCTAGTGAAAATAGACAGGTCAAATCCATAAGTAAGATAGTTTATATCGTCAAAATGATAAAACTTTATGACAGAGAGACAACTTATTATCAGGGAAATGCAGATTAAGTCAGGAAAAGGGAAGAGGTCTACAAATTGGAAGGATTCCAGGCAAAGGGAATAGCCCAAGTAAACATCAGTAATGAGAAAGTATATAGCATATTCTTTCTGACACCAGAATGACAGCCTGGTGTCAAGCAGTAAGGGTCTTGAGTCAGGATTCCTAAAACAGATTTGTTTACTATAGAATTTCAATCTTTTATTGCACATTAAAATGTCATGCCAATATTCTCTTTGTTGGCAAATTATCTAGAAAAAGAAGTTAAAAAATAAAACCTTTAAGATTTCCAGTTTCTCTTACAAGGCTGAGACATCTGGCACCTCAATCCCACTGAATTCACCAGTCTCGTCCCCATTACGCCTCACTTTAGCTTCTTGAGGCATTTAATTTAGCTGCCTTGAAGACAGAGGTGCTGTGGACAAGGCAAAGTCACAGAAGAGACTCCCACAAAATCCACAGAAAAAGGAATGAAGGCTTGAAGAAGCTCATGGTGGAATGCAAAGAGGAGGTGCACAGTAGGTTATTAAGCTGTTAGAACTGACAGAAGAGGAGATGATTGGAAGTGAGCAGGAAAGGAAAAAGGGTAAATTAAAGATCATGTTGACATTTCTAGTCCAGATAACTAGAAAATCACCCAGATGTAATTAGGGAACACAGGAGGGGAGGATAACTTCATTTTCATATACATATAATTATAACAGCATCTTAGCTAGAATGATATGAGATTGATGAGCTCTAGATGAGTTCATTTTCTAGGAAATGAAAGTTAATCCCTGAAGACTCAAAAACTTATTTTAAAAGGATGACACATATTTCCTTGCCTTGGTATGAAGTACATATGACCTTTTGTTGTTCTACATTGCCACTGTAATATACCCTTTGCAAAGTGACATGATCAAAATGATAAATATCAACTAGTGAATCTGTAGCAATAGCTTCAGAAATCCATGAGGTAAACATGAGGCCCATCCTTCGCTGAGTTCTCATAACACTATGCATTTTCTCCTTCACTACTCCTAAGTCCATTTCTCAACGCCTACAGCTGCATCTTCAGACTCCAGTCTCATTCCTCTCTCTTTAAAAAAAAAATAATAATAATCGTTTGTCTTTCTTTTTTCTTCATTTTTAAATACTTCTTGAATATGACAAAGGGGCCAGAAGTTTATCACTGCCAGTCAATAAAGTGCCTTCTTTTCCCAGTTAAGAAAACAAACAAATAATATCAAGTCTTTAACTACATGGGTTTTTGTTGTTTTTGCTTTCTTTTTATACCTTTGCTTCCTCAAAAACTATTAGATGAGACCAAGCAAGGTAAGTATCTGCAGAGTGGGTTGGGTATGATAGTCATGTCCAAATAGGATGAAGAGAATGTCCCTACAGTTGAGGGGATAGTCTGAGACAAATGTCAGAGCCACACTGGACAGATGGCTATCTCTACAAAGGAGTGGCTCAGAGCACAGGAAGTGCTCCTTCAAAGGCATCCACACAGAAGGACAACCTGAAGAGGCTTCCCCACAAAGTGAGGAGGGCATTAGTGTGGAGGGCAGCAACGGTAAGAACCCAATGGGGGAGGCAGGGTGAAGAAGGCATGCACATATGGGGTGAGGTGGGCAAGGAGTGAGCAAATAAGAACAGAGGGCTAAACAAACTAAGTAAATATATTAAGGACAACCAGAACCAGGTTTTTCACTTTCACAAAAAAGGAATGAAAAGAGAGAAACTGGAACATATCTTACGGTGTTAGACAGTAGCTACATAGCGGTGTGAATTCATGACTTTCAATATATGTGCACAGGTAGATGAAAAGGTAGGGGTATGTGTGTGCACCCGTGCATACAGGTACACCCTAGCTCTGCTCACTAAGAAGGCCTGTGGAAACAATGAGCACTTGGGTGCCAGATATTAGTTTCTAAATACTATTCTCTAAAAGGAGCTAGGGCTCCTTGAAGACATGGCTGATCCAGGGCATAGGTAGAAATGTACAAAATGAATTTAAAATGTTTCTCCAAGTCATAAAAGCAAGATGTGTTCAAAGAATGGTGAGGATGTGTCAAAAAGTCACCAGGTTTATTCTACTTAACTGTGCACTTAAAAATGGTTAAGACGGGTTGAAGGTGTGGCTTAAGTGGTAGAGTGCCTCCCTAGCAAGCACGAGGCCCTGAGGCAAGCCCTTATACTTCCAAAATTTGGTTAAGATGACAACACTTACGTGGTTTTTATTACAATTAAAAATAAAGATGGAGGGCTGGCAGAGTGGCTCAAGTAGTAAGAGCACCTGCCTAGCAAGCTTGAGGCCCTGAGGTCAAACACCAGTACTGCAAAAAATACATACATACATACATAAAGATGGAGCCAGCTGCAGTGGCTCACGCCTGCAATCCTAGGTACTTGGGAGGCTGAGATTGGGAGGATTGAGGTTTGAGAGCGGCCCAGGCAAATAGTCTGTGAGATTTACCTCCAAAATAACCAGAGCAAAATGGACTAGAGGTATGGCTCAAGTGGTCAAGTACCTGCTTTGCAAACTCGAAGCCCTGAGTTCAAACCACAGTCTCACCATAAATAAGTAAACAGGTTGGGAATACAGCTCCTCCCAGCACGTACAAGACTGTGGGTTCAATTTCCAGCATCTCAAAAAATAAATAAATAAAAATTTAAAAAGAGCATGGTAGTCAGCTGGGAGAAGCTCCCACTGGCTAAATTTTGGACAATGTGTACATCAGAATAAATGAGATGGCAACAAATTGTGACCCAGGGAATAAAAACAGAACCCATGAGTTTATACCAAAATAAATCAATATTCTGCTGAGGAATAGACTATTTATATAATACCATTCTACAGAATATATAACAATTGCAAAGGTGAAGAGTGAATTTTTAGTGAAGACATATCAACAGTATTGACATTTATACATTTAAAAGGCAAATAAAGACTTCCTAATGTTCTACATTGAGTGAAGGAAACTAAAAATACATGATGACACAATGTAACCTAAGATTCTAGACTGGCTCCTTTGTTATAAAACAATATTAAGCTGGGTATAGTAGTTCCTGCCTGTAATTAGAGGCTGAAGCAAGAAGATAGTGAGCTCAAGGCCAGGTTGGGCTATGTAACAAAACAAAATAGTAACAACAACAAAAAGAACTAAATGAAACAAAAACACACACACAATATTAAATCAACGTGCAAACCCTGAATGAAGCGTAAGGTTACGTAGCAGTACTATTTGATGTTAACTTATGGATTTGGAGAGGTGTATTATGATTATGTAGGAGAATGTGACAGGACACAATGTCAGCAACTTATACTCAAGTGGTTCAGAAAAAAAGTTCTTTATACTATTCTAACTTCTCTGTGGCTTGAGACTTAAAAAAAAAAAGCCTTAAGTAATTTTAAAATGTGTCCAGTTTACTAAGGATTATGAGGATGTTACTAGTTCTCTACATCAAACAATGCCATCAATACCAATCTTTGCATCACTAACTTGCTGCCTCTACGAAATAACTTCCTAGAAATTGATGAGATTGGTAGGTCAAAGACATGAATTTAATAATATAATAATTTATTATTAATTTTTCTAGCCTTCTCATTATCCCAGTCCCACAATGCTAGGTAAGTTTGTCTCTCTCTGTAGTGGCAGCACCAAGAACTGGACAAGCCTGAGCTGTGTGCTAACTGGAAGAGAAAACAGTGGAATTGTAACTACTTTGTTTTGAGCAGCAATATTGTCTACATATGTGTGTGTATTATATATGTTATGTGTATATGTGCACATATATTTGAAAGGCTAGACTGCCTTTCAAAAAGTAGGTACTAATTTAAATGCCTATCACCAGTATAACACTGTTTGGATATTCAATTTTATAACAAAAATTATATTTCCTTGATTTCTCATTTGTAGTCTTCTTCTATTGGTGGACCTCCAAATGACCTGGAATGTTAAATGTTTAAAATTAAAGCTGGAAAGTAAGGTGTCCCTAGGAGAAGTTATATTGGTATAGACTGTCAGTAAAA